GCTATCGCTTTAGTCATAAATTCTTCCCTTATCCATAGATCTGACAGGTAAACTATTCCATGCTCCCCTAATTTGTTTATGGTATCACCCTTTTTGACCAACCCATTCTTTAAGATTGAGTTTCCAATTAATTTTTAATCTTTTCTTTTGCTTTAGAGGTCCTTTATTGAATTAATTTTTATTGCATTATGGTTGATAAAAGATGCATTTAATATTTTTGCTTTTCTGCCTTTATTTCTGAGGTTTTTGTACTGTAATACATGGTTAATTTTTGTGAAGATGCCATGCATAGTTGAAAAATAGGTCTATCCCTTTCTATTCCAATTCAGTATCTCCAGAAATCTATCATATCTGACTTTTCTAAAATTCTATTCAAGGTCATTAACTTTTTTCTTTATTTTTTGGTTAGACTTAGGTTAGACTTTAGGTCTAAGAGGGATAAATCGAGGTCCCCCACAATTATTCTTTTACTATCTATTTCTTCCTATATCATTGAATTTTTCCTGTAAGAATTTTAATGCTATGCCATTTGGTGCATATAAACTATACATTTTGATTGCTTATGTTTGGTAAGATATTTTAGGGCTTGGGTGCTAAATTTTTTTACATTATTTTATTATTTTTTTTCCCAAAAACTGTGATAATTTACTTTTTGTTCTGTGCAGTTTTCATTTATGATTTCTTGAAATATAGTTCTGAAAAAGTGGACTTTAAAAAAGCCCATTTATATTTCAAATGGAGCTACTTGACTCCACCTTTAAACCCAAATCACTCTGGCTTTCATTGAATAGCCAATAATAGACCCAGCTCAAGCCTCTATGGTTTTTAAAATGAGTGTAAATAGCAATTGTTTTCTGTTCTGAGGGTTTTCCCCTCTCAGACTGATATTTTTGTGAAGGTAAACTAAGCCATCTTTTGTCTCAATTCCTACCTACCCCTTGGTCGTTGAATGGGCATTACCTCAGACAAACTGGACCTAGAAAAGATTTTAATTTAGAAAGGCCAAGGTCACTCACTTACTGCATCCTGAGCCATTGTCGGCTGTCTGGACTTTTGTCTTGCCGCTGGACTTGATGCTTCTGGAGGAGACAGTGAGGCTGAAGACTTGGTGAGCTCTGCCTCACTTAAATCCACTGCACGTGCCAGTCAAGACATCACCCTCATGACGTTTTTGGTCTTCCTCAAGAACAAGATGAACAGCAACAGCAATCGTGTCAGCTGAAGCATAGCAGATTCTGCTCTAGCCTTCAGCTCTGTGTGTGTCTCTGTTTTCAGGTTTCTTGTAAACACCGTGTTGTTGGATTCTGGTTTCTAATCCATTCTACTTCCTCTTTTTTGTTACGAGCGAGTTCATCCTATTTACAGTTATGATTGCTAACATGTATTTCCCTGTATCCTATTGTCTGATAACTTCTGCTTTCTTTTTTTTCTCACCCCCTCTTTAACGGTCTGTGTTGCTTCTAACGCCTTCCTCTCAACCTACCTTCCCTTTCCCTAGCCCCTGGAAGGGGCATTTCCCCGTTGAATAAGGCGTGGTTCTGTATTCAACTCTGTCTATTCTTCCCTCCTTGAACCAGTTCAGATAAGTGATGTTTAAATGCCATCAGCTCCCCACCAATGACCATCCATTGTGTAAACTCCTTGCAAACTCCATTTATGTGAGATGATTTTCCTCATTCTTCTTCCTCCACTCCTTCCCAGTGCGTTCCTGTTCCGCACCCTTTCTTCTTTAAGATAATTGAAACATAAAAGAAACACTTAATTTTATTAATCTGTCTTATGAAATTCTCAATGCCTCATGAAGTTATCAGTGTCCATTTGGTCTGGTATGGTGATCTGTGCTCCTGGGATCAAAACCACACCACTGTTTGCTTTTGGAACTCATTTCTTGCTCAGCACACATTTTAGAGCCAATGCTCAGCACCTCTCCTCTCTGACCTGGATCCATGATTCAGAACCAGATAGCAGACAACAAAAGCTGACAGATGGCACTCATTTCTGCTCCCAATGCTTATTCAGGGATCCTCTGAGATCTCTGCCCTGGTGGTCCTGTTACAGCCCTCTTTGGCTCCCTGGACACTGTAATGTGCCACACTGCCTGCATGCTCCTGGTCAGACCTTGTTCCTCGGGTCTGCAGACCTCTCTTATCTCCTGAAGCCACCTAGGCTGGAAAAAATGATTCACTGTGACTTTTTCCTTGGCTTTCTCTATCAGAATTTGGTCTAGTGCATTTTCTGGAAGTATAGCAAACCAGCTAGACTCTTGCAGTTCTCACTTCACTATCTTGACTCTGCCTCCCTCTACCCCTCTATCTGATCAATTTAGAATCTAATTGTGTTATTGTGTAGTTCATATATCTCCATCTTTACTACAATAGCAAGATACTTTATCAGATCTTTTCGAAAATCCAAGTAAGCTAAATCTACAGAATTCCCTTCATTTGCCAATTTCATGACAGTCAAATTAGGAAATTAGGTTAGTCTGGCACGACCTGTTTGTGATGAACCTTGCTGAGCCCACTCTCTATAAACAATGATTTTCTTTTTTAGACTTTCACCATCTCTTTAATGACCCATTCTAGAATTTTCTGAGGCAATAAAATCAAGCTCATTGACCTATAACTTGAAGCTGCTGATCTCTTCCCTTTCTTGGAAATCCCCACATTTCCCCTTCTCCATTTCTGATTTCACCCAAATTCCACCATCTGATATCCCACCATTACTGACAGTGTCTGTAGTCCCTTCTGCCCAGTTTTCTTGTGATCTGAGGACATAGTTCCTTTGGGCAAAGTGACCTGAATTCATTAAGGGCAGCTTGGTGACCTCTGAGAATATCCTTACCTATCTTGGGTCAGTAGCATGGTGTTAAGTTGGTTCTCCTTTGTGGAGAAAACAAGCAAAAGAAATACTGGGCAGAACTCTTTTTTCTGTTCTCAGTTATCATCTCATCTGCCCCAAGCAAAGCTCTAGGGTAGGTGTCAATCTGCAGTTGGGTAGCAGAGTGGATAGACTACCAGGCTTAGACGCAGGAAGACCTGAGTTCAAATGTGATTTCAGACACTTCCTAGCTGAGTGACCCTGGGCAAGTCACTTTACCCTGTTTGCCTTAGTTTCTTCATCTATAAAATGGGCTGGAAAAGGAAATGGCAAACTACTCAAGTATCTTTGCCACGAAACCACCCCCAAAAAGGGGTCAAGAAGAGTTGGACACAATTGAAAATGACTAAACAACAAGATGTCAATTTGCTTCCTCACTGAGAGTTCCCTACACCAAAACAATCATTGATTTTTTTTTAAAGGGAAAATCTCACTTGTACATGAGATAATTGCTGGAGTGCATTGAGAAAGTATTTATAACTTCTATTTATATTCTGCTAAAAAAGCAACAAGATCCATCTTTAGTAATACTGAATATATGAATTGGCACTAGCTTCTTTAGTTGGCTCAAAGATCTGACTGTATCATATGTGGCACACAGAACTTGGAAGTATCCTGAGGAACAAATAGGAATTTCAAGACATGGGGAGGTTGACAGTGGTGCCGTCATCCATTTGTTCACTTTTAACGTATGGCAATGTGTTGTAGCCCAGGTAAATGGATTAACTAAACTAACTCTTACAAAATGTGTGAGTGGTTTAGATTAAAATCATGGATAAAATGAGAGCTTAAGTGAAAAAACAAGATGGCAGACCTAAAACAATGATGGTCTAGTTAGATCTGCCAAGAAGTCAGGCCCCAAATTTAAATATGTGATTATTTGAAATATGGATTTATTTTCATTATGGTCAATGATGAGCTTAGCCCTAAGGGTATATAGTGCATTAAGATATTAGCTGATGTTATGAATTCATCACAATTAGCACAGCATTTTAAAACTAAGCTTCTGTTGCCCAAAATGATTTGTGTCACCTATAAAAACTCTTATACATGTATACTTCAAAAAAGATTATTTTGATTTGAAACAGAATTTTCTAACTTATTTAAAAATCTAAGCAAGGAGTTTCAGTGGCTTTTAAACCTATTTGTTAAAAATATAAAAATCTATCTAATTAGATTGCAGGAATAACTGACACAAGAGAAGATGGAATTAGCCAACTTGTTTCAATTAACAAGCATTTATTAAGAATCTACTGTGTAATAGGTACTGAGAAATAAAGACCTAAAAAAAAAAGAATTCTTACTCTCAAGGAGCTTACATTCTTGGGGTGGGGGAGGGAGAAGGAGGGGGACCAAAGGTACACATATAAATGTATACACAATGAACAGAGGAAACAGAAAGTTCTTAGAGAGAGGAGGACTCTAGCAGTTGGTGAGGTCAGGTACGGCTTTGTGCAGAAGGTGTGTTTTAGTTTTGACTCAAAGGAAAGGATTCCATGAGGTGAGGATAGAGTATTCCAGACAATGGGGACAGCCAATGTAAAGGCAGAGAGACAGGAATTGGAAGCAGTTTGTGAGGAACAGAGAGGCCAGTTTGGCTGGACCACAGGTCTCATTCTTTTAAAATGTGTATTTTTTTGTATATCATATGTATATAATTTATAAGTAAATAAATACAACATAGTAGGAGTGTCAGTTAGGTGGCACAGTGGAGAGAGTGCTGCACCTGAAGTCAGTAAGTCCTGAGTTCAAATCCAGCCTCAGACACTTGCTAACTGTGTGACCTGGGCAAGTCATTTGACCCTCTTTGCCTCAGTTTCCTCATCTGTAAAATAAGGTGGAGAAGGAAATAGCACACCACTCCAGTATCTTCACCAAGAAAACCTCGAATGGGGTCATGAGGAGTCAGACTTGACTGAAAAACGCCTGAACAACAACAAAAGTAGGAGTATATCCTCGAGAATTTTTTTCTGTAATATGAGGGGATATGAGATCAAAAAAATCAGGAGACTACTGGTCTACACCACAATGCTAAAACCAAGGTACCAGCACAGTACTCACAAGAAAATACACATGAATAATCAAATGCCAGAACAGATTTCGGTGAAAAACAAATCCCATTCTCTGATGAAAACAGAAGCTTTATTGTTAAATAGAAATAGTTCAATTTAATAACTCTTTCCATGGAAGCAAAACGGCTCTGAAGGTTAAGGCATATGCTCTGTGTAGGTGTTCTGTGTCACCAGGCTGAGTGTCTAAGCAGATTATCAAAAAAGTTTCTGAAAGTCAGTGCTTATAAAATGGACCTTTATTGCCAAATCCATTATTCTTTTAGAATGAGGGGAAAATTCCTTGTTGGTTTTGTTAGCCTTGTTTCTCCCAATGCCTTCTTTCTTATAACTATAAATGAAGTTTGCTTCTTGCCATAAAGCGTCCTGGATAAAGATGGATGTTAGTTCAACTCCTTTACCATGTAAGGTCCTTCTAATACATAGCCAATCTTCCTGTAATAATTCCTGGTGCCAACTCCTGTAAAGAAGCAGAAAAATAAGGTAGATGAAGCTCTAATAAATTTAATATTTCTCAAATTGCTAAAGACTCAGAAAAAAGTCTCATGCTAAGAATGTTTTTAAAAATATAGGTCAGAAGATCATAGCTTTAGGTCTGGAGGAGACTTTAGAGGTCAGCAAGTTGAACCTTCTCATTTGTGTGATACTGGACAACTTACTTAACCTCTCGAATCTCTTCTGGCTTTATATCTATGATCCTGGGAACTGAGGCCTAGAGAGTGAGGTCGTTTGTCCCAGGTCACACCAGCAGTCAGTAGGAGGGCTGGAAAGGGAACCTGGGCGCTCTACTTCTAGATTCAGAGCTCTTTCCAAAGTACTGTGCTGCCTCCTGTAAAATACCATTTACTAGTTCAACCGCGGTTCATTTATAGTGTGCCTTTTGTTGTTCAGTCTCTTCAGTCGTGAATGACTCTTTGTGACCTCACTCTTGGCTTTTCTTGGCAAAGATCCTGGAGTGGTTTGCCATTTCTTCTCCAGCTCATTTTGTAGATGAGGAAACTGAGGCAGACAGGGTTAGGTGACTTGCCCAGGGTCACACAGCTAGTAAGTGTCTGAGGCCGGATTTGAACTCAGGAAGAGGAGTTTCCTCTCCTATGGATGACGTGCTGGGGAAGATACAAAGAGGAACAAGCCAAGGGCTATGCTCCCCTAACGGCCCCCCGGGCTTCTCTCATAGGAAAAACCTTAGAGGAGCTCCTTAGGAAATCAAAATTACTTGATAGGACATGAAAACATGGAATTTAAGCTTCATGAAAATGGTTCTACTGCTACTGTATTTAAAGGGAAAACAAACTGTTTTCTAAGGTTACTTATATATAATATATATCTGGAGGTGGACTTGCAAATAACAAGCTGAGCTGGCTATACCTGCTCAGAAAAGAGAATGTTGCTCCAAAGCAGTGAAACTTGGAACGTACAATGCTGGTGTTTCTCGATCTGTTCCCTTTGTTTAACTGAACGTAAGGGCAGTTAAGACAACTTCATGTAGATCCCTGTCTTCTCAGGGTGGCCAGTCCCTCTGCCCATGTAGATGAAAACTCACCCACATCCTCCTTTTAGAGTCTTTCTGTACACTCCCCAGAAAGGATTTACCCAATGTCCTGGAGGCCTTCCTGTGGTTCTTTTACTATTCAGAGATACTGGTTCCACACTCAGGCTGTCCATCTGTTATCTCTCACTCTACATCAATGGCTCACCTTTTTCCAGAAATACTCGTCTTATACCCCCGTTCATGTGTAAGTCACCACTAGTGATATGCTATCAACTATTTACGCACTTATCACGAGAACAACCGTTGCCCCTTGGGTCACCCACAATTTTGTTTCTTCTGGAAGAAAACTGGCGTTAGAAAAAGTTGGGCTTCGGCTACAGGGAGCAGCCTGGGAACACTGAAACATTGTACAGTTTCCCAAAAGCAGCCCAGTCTGTTCAGTTCTAGACCCGGTTCTCTGTTCCTCAACTATCCAAGATAATAGTAATGGACTAACGTAATAGGTGGAGCGTCTAAATGAATGTTCATAATTTTGGAATAAAACTTGATGTGTTTTCCAAAATTGTGATTGGGTACACCATTTGATGGTTGCTACTAGATCCTAAAAAGTTACACCATCATTGGAAATTATCAGAAGTGAGGTGGTTAGAAAAGAGCAGGAAGAACTAAAGGCCAATGCCAGTCAACTTCTGACACTGTCTCCCTATCTCACCCAGGCTGGAAGTAGGGTGGACACTCACGGGCACTATCCCACTGTTGATCAGGAAAGAAGTTTCACACTGTTCTGTTTCTGAGCCTGGGCCAGTTGGCCCCTCCTAGGAAGCCTGGGGCAGACTTAGTGACCACAACTGAATGCCTTATTGAAGCTCAAAACTCCTGAGCTCAAGCAAAACACCAACCTCAGCCTCCCCAGGAGCACAGACTGTAGGAATGTGCCACCAAGCCCAATCAATGATCTAATGGCCTTTTCTTAGGACTAGTTCTTCTTGACCACTCTGAAGCAGGGAATGCTGTTGATCACCTTCTCCTCCCCTACACTCTTTCCACTCTGGGTTTTTATGTGTTTCTCTTTCTTTGTTTTCCTTTTATCTGTTCAACTACTCAATCTTCCTTGCTGATTCCTTATCGATGTCATGCCCACTATGTATGGATGCCTGTCAAGGCTCTGTCTAGCCCCTCTTCTCTTTTCCCTCTAGAACAAGGGTTCTTCAATTTTTTTGTGTCATGGACCCCTTTGGCAGTCTGGTAAAGCCCATGGACCCTTTCTCAGAACAATGTGTTTAAATGCATACAATAAAACACACAGGATTACAAAGAAAATAATTGTTGAAATGCAGTTATCAAAATATTTTTTAAAAGCCAAATTAATGAACACCACTTTAGGAGCACCTGCCCTATACTATCTTCCTCATCATCTCCTATTAGTTCAATTATCATCTCTATGTAAATGATTCTATGTCCCCTTCCCTCCACTCACAGAGCCACCACCTTAGTTCAGGCTCTTATCACCTCTCACTTAGACTATTATAATGGCCTTCTCATTGGCTTCCTACCTCATCTTTCCTCATTCCAATTCTTCCATTCTTTACTCAGCTGCCCCAGTGACTGTTCTAAAGTGTGGGTCTGATGATGGCATCTCCTCATTCAGTAAACTCCACTGGCTCCCTGTGACTTTCAGGACCAAACATCAAGTCTACTGGCATTTAAAGCTCTTCACAATGTGTCCCCTTCCCACCACTCACACATGATAGTCTACCTCCACTGGCCAACTTGCTGTTCCTCGCCATGACACTTTACATCCTTTCTCGGTGCCTTTGTCCTGGCTGTTCCCCACTCTTGAAATGCTCTCATTCTTTGCTTCTATCACTTTGTTTCTTTAGCTTCCTTCAAGACTGGGTTTAGTCCCACACTCTGCAGGAAGTTGTTCCCACTGCCTCTAGCTGCTAGTGCTTTCCCCTCTGATTTATCCTGTTATATGTATTGTGTGTATATACTAGTTTGCTTTTTGTTTCCCTACTGGAGGGCAGGAGCTGTTTTTGCTTTTCTTTCCATCTATCCTCAGTGCTTAATACAGTGTCTGTATAAGTGCTCAGGAAATGCATTTTTATTGATTACAAATGCTTTTGGTTTGGATTGGAAGATACCAGATGATCCACAAGAGGTGGATCTTCTCTTCTGATCATCATACTGATGTCTCAGGTTTTGGTTTCCTCCCAACCCTGCCTTCCCTCCCCAGTTGAGAATTATTTCATGCTTCTTGCCCTAGGTACAAAAATTCTTTTTTGAGACTTCCCACCAAGCCCTCGACCAACTGTTAAAAAAAGTCTGTTAAAATACCAACAGTGCTAAAAATTCATTAGTAATATTTTACTTCGTACGTCCAAATTCAGTTATTATACACAAATAACCTCACCACAGCTTCATTCAACAGACTGCTAAAGAGTAAAGGACTTAATAAACATAATTATTAAAAAGTAGACTGGGCCTGATGAAGCTTTGCCTATCTATAAGTAGTAAGGCTAGGAAAAAGTAAAGAGATCAAAGGCTGGTAATAACTCACTCGACCAAAGGTGAATGAAGTTGTATTTTCCCTTCAGGTATTTTTGTACTGTGCCAGTGGGCAACTCACTGAGGAAATCACCTTCCTGGTTCAACTGCTGTGACTAAGGACAAAGAATACCTGTTTCTGGGAAGAGGAATAAGCAATGGATTTCTCAATTAACCTCTTCAGTTTTCATCAGTCAGTTCAAGCTGTTCGGTGGCTGTTCTGCTGAATGCCCTGTATAACCCAGCTATCTCTTATCACACAAAAAGCTAAGAGAGGACATGGAATGAATGGCAATTTGAAGCTGACTTACTCAAAACACAGCTTGGTATTCAAAGCAAGTGAATCAAGAAGGCAGTGAGAACCAGTACTCACCTAGGATCAGGCTCCCAGAATCATAAAGGAATGTCATGCTACTCAAACATCTCCCTGTTTTTCACCCCAACCATCATTTGAACAAGTAGTAGTGGACTTCATTTAGTGGAACTTGCTGTATACATGAGGAAAGCAAAGCTAATATGGCCTTTTAACCAGGACCCAGAGACAAACTGGTCATAAACATAATCAATACCATTGCAAAGATGCTTTAAAAAATTGCAATGCTATTTTTGCATCATTCCTATAATGGTCTGTCTATGGTAAAAGGCTCTACTTTACAAGCAACTTTACTTTGTACCCCCAGAGCTTGCCACATAAGTGGCAAGTATTTGTATAAGTATCTGACTGAAGGATTGAAAAACCCCTCTCCATGCATAAGGCAAGGGATCCTATCCCATTTCCTCCAATACACTGGCCCCTCTATCATCCCCTCTCTCTCACTTATCTTCAATCTCTCCTTGTCTACTGATAGCTTTCCTACTACCTATACACATGTCTCCCTCATCCTCATTTGATCCATCTATCCCCATTAGCTATCATCCTGTATCTCTCCTCCCTTTTGTGGCTAAGCTCTTTGAGATGGTCATCTACAATAGGTACCTCCACTTCCTTTTCTCTCACTCTCTTCTTAACTCCTCTTTATAGTCTGGCTTCCAATTTCATCATTCAAGTGAAACTGCTCTCTCCAATGTTCCTAATGATCACTTAATTGCCAGATCTAATGACCTGTTCTCAATTTTCATCCTTCTTGACCTCTCTGCAGCCCCTGACACTGTGGGTCACCATCATTTCCTTGATATTCTCTTCCCTCTAGGCTGGTGTGACACTGCTGTCTCCTGGTTCTCCTTCTATCCATCTGACTGCTCCTTTTCAGTCTCCTTTGCTGAATCTTCATTCAGGTCATGCCCACTTAATGGTGGGTATTCCCTAAGACTCTGTCCTGACCCCTCTTACTTTTTTCCCTTTGTGCTATTTCACTATATCCTAATGATTCTCAAATCTATTTAGCTATTTTTAACCTCTCTACTGACCTCCATTCTTGAAT